TACCATCCCACCCCCATTCAAACAGTGGCATCGGTACTGGAAAAAAGGCATAGAGATCTACAACAACCCATAGGCTTAAATAAAGAAGGCAAGGGTGCTTGTAATCACATAAGCCACTACTTACACAACGACATTGCGCAACAGTGCACGCGGGCTGCTATTGCAGAATTGCATCCATGAGGACAGCACACGGAGATTCTCTTGGTGCGAGAAATCATGACGTCACATGAGCAGCGTCGAAGCTTAGCTTCGGAAACTCAGACGACGGCGCGAACATCTTAAAAAGCACTCTTTCTTCAGATACAAAAAAAAAAAATAGAAGTTTTGATGTTGAGGGAAATAACAGCGAAAGGGCAATAAATGAAATAAGCAAATGCATCTACGGCGTTGAGAATAAAAGCAAACAAGAAAGATCCATATAATTCCTATCCTAAACCTCACCATGTTAGCGAAGAGAGAGGAGGAGTAGCAGAAAAACATAGTATCAGAAAATTTAAAGATTAAAAATACAAGAAAAATGTACGATACAGGTCTAAACGTAAATGCAGAGTGCATTGCCGTAAAATGATTCTATTTTTACTCAGACCTTCAAGCTCGTCTCTACCAAAACACAAGTCAAATTAAAGATAACCGATCGTCAAACTATCTGACAATACAGTTATCTCGAATATTTTATATGACTCCGCAGGCAAGAATAAGCACACAATATTATAACCAACCATTCACATAGTCAGTAACCAACTCATTCACGCACGTAAAGCTGATGTGAGATAAGTAATAACGTAAAAAAAAATAAAAATAAAAAATATTTGCGATAAAAAATTTTGAAACATATAAAAAGTACTAACATAAATAAAAATAATAAGTAGGCAATACTATTTGTACAAAAAGGAAAGCGAAATAGTTAAGAGATACGTTAATTATCATATACTTTGTACGTAAGGAGAGAGCTACACTCACAGCTCAACGCTGACCGAATAAAGAGGAACAGGATTTCTCTTTCTTAAGTATAAGTGCCTTCTCCATCGGGGGGCCCTACAACGAATATGTTATGGAATGTTCACAAAAAAACAAAGAGCTCAAGAAGAAGCACGAGGATTGGCAGTAGTTCAAACCACGCCAACAATGGAACATGCAGCAGAAAAGCGATTGTAACCCTCTAGAGGAGTAATAGAGTTGCCGTTGGCCGTGGCACAAGATTAAGATTCGTAAAACAATGAGTATGAGCGCCAGGAGTCGCTCAACTATATCGGGGGGCGCAGTCTGTACGACACTAAGAAAAAATTTTTTTTTTACAAAATATTCAATATCAAGAAAGTTATGTTTAGGTTTACTATTAAAAAAAAAAACAAAAAAAAAAAAAAAAAAACACATTTTTGATAGTCGTAGCTATAACAATAATAATAATTATCTTACTAATATATAAAGCAAATTCGCTAAAACCGTTGTAATCGCTAACCGCAAAAACTACTGAACCGATTTTGCTGAAATTTTGCACACTGATTCATGATACTTCCTAAATAATTTTAGTATCGTTTTTATCTTAAAAAATTTAATAACAATAGCAATAAATGAGCTCAAAGTTTTGCAAAAATACGCCAGCTTTTCACTTTAGTTCAGTAAAAGCCGCTAGGTGGCGTCGACATAAAATCGAAGATACCTGCAACTTAATTAAATAAGTGTGGTTATAATACGCCGGAGCGTCTCGAAAGTGATGTAGTCGAGCTTCAGCTGTTCAACGAGCTGTAAAGAGAATGCTGATGATAGTCTTGCAGCTGGGTATCCTGGTTACGGACGACACTCTTCTCTGAGGGGGAAGGGACCTAGGTGTCCATTCACCCTGAATCTCGACGAGTGCGATAAAAACAAAGAAATTAATAATTCCAACCGATGCCGTCTCTGCCACAATACCAGGAGACATATCTAGCCAGAGCACAATCTGCACCGACTCTTCAGAGTTGTGTGGTAGTCCCACCATCCCACAAGGTGCAGTTAGGGAATTTGCGGCTACAAATATAAGCAAGGGAAAACAGCTCTGAGGGGCACGGGCATCCACAACGGCTACCTTCTTGGTCGTCGCGTCCCCAACACGCTTACCTACATGTTCACGTCTAACTATGAGCGGTTGGTTATCCGGGGAACGATCCGAGACGAGATATTCTTTGGTCAGCGGCGTACCTCCCTCCATCACGGTCTCCGTACATCGAGACTCCCAGGGTAAGAATCAAGAAACCCGTAGCCAGCTCTTTATCATCAGGAATAATAATAAAGAATAGCCTGGAAGTTTCACCACTGGCACTTTTTAGGGCCATTATAAGTATTTACGTTCCCTACTTAACCATCAATTTCATCGGTTCTTTTTAGAATCCACCTAAGTGTAAACTACCTTGCCAACAAATACATTTTTATTACCATTTCCGGAAGCGATTCGTCGACTAA